AAAAGTGACAGTGCATATTTCCATGCTCTCATGCCGATTCGACACGACATGCCCAAGCAGTGTGACAATAACAGCCTGGCCCCCCTATTCCTCCCTCTCCTCGGGCGCAGCGTGCCTGCGGCGGGTGCATAGAGAGAGAGAGAGAGAGAGAATGGAAGCAACAAACTTGAACCGACACATCACCAAGTGAGAGAAAGAATGAACAACACAAGTGTGACTATCCTACACATGCACTCAGAGCTATGGAAACAACAAATTTGAGCCAGCACATCACCAAGTGAGAGTAAGACTGAACAACACAAGTGTGACTATCCTACATATGCACATAGAGCTATGGAATCAACATATTTGAATCAGCACATCACCAAGTGAGAGATAGACTGAACATCATAAGTGCGACTATCCTACACATACACATAAAGCTATGGAAACAAGAAATTTGAACCGGCACATCACCAAGTGGAGAAAGGACCGAACTGCATAAATGAGACTAGAGCATACACATATGTGAAGCTGTGGGCGCAACTAGGAAGAACCAGCACATCACCAAGTGGAGAAAGAAATGAACTGCACAAGTGAGACTAAAGCATACATATGTGTGAAGCTATGGAAGCAACTAGGAAGAACTGACACATCACCAAGTGGAGAAAGGACTGAACTGCACCAGTGAAACTAAGTCATACACATATGTGAGCTATGGAACAACTAAGAAAGAACCGACATATCACCAAGTGAGGAAAGACTGAACTTACACAAGTGAGACTACAACATACACACGTGTGAGTTATGAAGCAACTAGGAAAAAAACGGCACATCACCAAGTGAGGAAACTGAACTTACACAAGTGAGACTACAACATACACACATATGAGCTATAAAAGTTACTAGGAAAAAACCGACACATCACCAAGTGAGGAAAGACAGGACTTGCACAAGTGGGACTACAACATACACATATGTGAGCTATGGAACAACTAGGAAAGAACGAGAGAAGGTTAACAACAATCGTATTTTTCATCACCACTTCAGGACACCCATCACCACGTCAGGACGCATCCTGCCTAAACAAGTGGTTTTCAGGGTCTTCGGACCTTTCACCACTTCAGGAGCATTCAGGTATGAAAATCCTGAATGGTCCTAAAGTGGTGAAAGTTCCGAAGACCTTGAAAACCACCTATTTTGGCAGGCTGCATCCTCAAGTGGTGAAGGGTGGTTTTCACGGTCTTCGGACCTTTCACCACTTCAGGACCATTCAGGATTTTCAAACTGCCAAAAACTCTCACTTGACCACTTCAGGACACCCTTCACCACTTCA